CTGGTTAACCCTTTGAAGCCGAAGCTCGTCTAAATAATATTTAAGAATTCAGCCCGTACCGCGAAGAAAACACCACACGTAACCATTACAAAGATCAACTGGTTAACGCTGTTTAAGGGAATAATCGCTGTTTAGATTAAGAATCGCACGAAACATGAAAAAAGACGCACTTGTAGATTGTCAAGCAGATGGGACAGATATGTACCACTAGGCTTTGAAGGGTTAATTGTATAGTTAATGGTTGGCTGGTTGAACTGTCGTCTTGACGCGATTTCAAGGGCTTTGCCACTGAGAGCACCCCAGGTACAGAGACTTCTCTTAAGTTCTTCATTGGCAAACTCGTTGCTCGTGTTCTGTCTAGACATTTTAATTTGTTTTTCTTTGTTTAGATGGCGAGGCTGGCCTGGTTGTACTTTCTATTGAAAGTCCTGGATCTCTGTGACACGGTGAGTGCGACTTCTTGACAGGAATTTGCTGTTTTTGCTTCAGAGTCGAGGGATTTCGTCGTAATTACTTGTAGTAATTAAATGTATCTTTTTTGCACGATAATTATTGCATGCTGATTCGTAGTCTTGCAGTAAGTTCGCCTCAGGAAGGCGGCTTAGTCGGTAGCCCCCACTTGTACGAGCTGCCATCTTGAAAAAGGACCGATGACGCCTTGGTTGAATTAAGATTTCGTCACCTGGACAGGCGACTTATCTTGAGAGCCCGCTAAGTAAGGCGCACATTAAAAATATGAATTAATGGTCTCGCGCCTCCAGGTTTACGTCCAATTGCCTTCGTCTTGATCGCAGGTGTTTTTCATCCTGCGGAAGAAGAGTGGCCAAGTGTCCTTCCTGCATATGTATCACCATCTGATGATGCTGCTGACAGTGTGGACTGTAAACAAGTTTTGTCCAGGTAATAAGATGACTGGTGATTCTTGCAGACACGTAAAGAAAATAAGTTTTCTGGGTATTTATACACTTCTGTTGGTTAATATAATTATAGAATTTTAAAACATTATTCAATTCAATTATTTATTAATAGTGCCAATTAGATATACGGCACAAGACGACAACAACAACAACAACATATTGAAATGTATTTCGGAATTAGCTCCTGCACTAGGTTTGTCTTCATTTGACTTCTTTGGAAGGTTTATCAATTGTTTTTTTTATAGAGAAAAATTCACAATCAGTTCTGTGAACGCTAACCACAAATTATTATGAAGATGGCACCAAAATTTCAGAGGTCCATGCTGCC